TCACTTTGTTTTCACACTGACATTTGATAGTGTATAGCCTCTTTAAGGTCTAAGGCCCAAAGGATTCTAGAGAAGAACTAGCTTGTACAATATGTTGTCCAACCAGGATGGATATAAGTGTTTATACCTGTTCCAAACAGCCAAAGGTGAAGTGAGAAGCTGGCTGTGTCAAATATTATTTAAAAATAGGAACAACAGCTTTCATGGAGTCTCTCTTGGAGAGCAATAACAGTGTTGCACTTGGTTAAAGGCATAAAAAATGACATGAAAAAAGGGAGCAGAGGGAGAAGTCCAAATCCTGGCCCCTTTTGTATTTCCTCACATGAATGTGTGGAATGTGTATGAATGTGGAATTGTAAGTTTTGGAAAGTTACAAAAAAGCTCTTGCATTTCTTTGAATGTTCAGACCTTCCAAGTGTACCTCTGTCATGTCTTCACTTCTCAGCAGCTAAACATAGAAACATCCTACCCAACCTACACTTACTTTTAAAGGTTTCCCAGCTTACTTTTAATGTAATCACAAGCAGTTCTGGCACAGAAGTAGCACTTCTAAAATGGACAGGACAGGAGACCCTAGACATGCAGACATTTCTTTTCACCTACATGAACAAATGCCATTGTTGCAACCAAGGTAACTACTCCATCTGTTTGTAATTTGCCTTAGTAACTTTTTTTTATTGAAACAAAGTAACACATTAACAAAACAAGTCCGGACATGGGAGACAAGACAACGGATACATGACATTACAAAAAGATGTAGTGTTTTACAAGATCGTGGTGTGTGAGGCTGTGAAGTGTGTGTATTTCCAACTTATGCAGTCTATGAAGGGCAAGAAAGGGAGAAGGAGGGAAAAAATACAACAATAATGATAAGATACTACCAATAAAAGCATCTTATTACAATTTGAAGGTTGGTGGGAATGTGCATGGCCTCATCCCCAGGTGTTTGGTTCAAGTCAAACTGTGTTAGAAATGGGTTTCATGTGTCATTAAAAGCTGATAAACTATTCTTGTGATGTATTCTATCAAAAGGTTTTGATTTCCAGTTTTGAAAGATTGTTTTTTTGGCAATAGCTAAAGAAATGAGGAGCGGGTTTTTGTATTTAACTGGTAGGTGGTCGACTTCTGTGATATTACCGAGCAAGCAAAGTGATGGAGGAGGAGGGCTTCTACAGCCCAATATGATGGAGAGTTTCTCTGTCACTGCTATCCAGAGGGAATGAACTGGTATCAAGTACAGATTCAACAATAACAATACCAAAACTCAAATGGGAAAACAATTTAACTCTCTCCCTCAGCTCCGACTTCTGGACAGAAATTTGTAATATCTTTTCTATGACCAGCAACGTAAACTTACAACTTATACAATACAAGACCATTTACAGGACTCATATTACACGTAAAGTAAAATGTTCAAAATGGGTTTCACTGACACAGACATCTGTTCACAATGCACTCTAGGTTGGACCTGCCTTAGTAACTTTTAGGGATAGATGCACAAGGCACTAGGAAAACCCAAGTGCTCACACACTGTTGGACATTATTAGCTACCCACAGCAAAAACAGAGTTTATTTTCTTGTGAAATTTCTCTGTTGTCATAATTGGTATAACTTGCCAGTTCCATAATACAAGAGCCGTGTAAGGCAGCCGCAGAAAAAGGCAACACATGTCAAAACCACAGGCACCTCAGCCATAGGATGTGGCAGGATGTCACCACAGCTGGGCCAGGAAACAATTCTGTAGTCTTGTCATACATCGTTTTAGTCAAGAACAGTTGATGAACTCTACAAAAATAATTAGAAAGCAGAGCTGTCAGATTCTTAATTTTTGACAAACACACACAACATAATACTCTTAATGTGCTTTCCCCTTAGTGGCCCCCTGTCAGTTGTATCAACATAAGATTCAAACAAAATGGCCCATGCTAAAGCTCATCAGTTGCTATTCATAGTCATTATTTAAACATTCTTGCATGTAGAATAATGGAATATTTACACTACAGCACATAGTCCCAACAACACTGCTTAAATGTCATGAGTTTCAGTAGTGTTTAAGGGGAACTGACATCTCGGTATCCTGGTGTTCTTATTTGATAGCAGGCAGAAAATACCTCAAACTCAGCTAAGAAAAAAAAAGAGAATAAAAAAGCACACAACACATATTTCATGGAAAAGGAGGCACAGAACCGACCCTGTGGTGATAGAAGGATGATGTCCTAGCACAGACTTGGTCTGCCAACAGGGTTTGCTGGTTGATTAGACTAGAATTGCAAGCAATAGAGAACACAACTATACGGTTTACAAGGCAGGGGAAACTGTAGGTGGAGTTTCCTTTTCTCTTCTACAAAATGATGCCTGACACGTCAGTGATGTCTGGATGAGGTTTACGCTACGACACAGGAAAACTGTGCCACTCACAATTGTCTTTGCTTTGTCTCCTGAGAGGTAAACATTCTTATTTCAAGTGGACAGAAGTCTGAACTTCATCTCCTAAACCCTACCTTTCTCCTAAGTTACATAGTGCTATTAACAGACAAACTGTGCTAGATGGCTTTTCTACCAGGAGCAACGTGGATAGGAGGAGCTGGGGACTGAACCGACAACCCACTCTGCCAACAGAACACCAGCCACCTATCTTTTAGTCCCTAGCTTAATAAATATTAAAAATTATATGCAAGCAGTAAGTGTTGAGTGTAATCTAGCTGTTCTCTGATTGGTCGATTCTGAGAGTACATTGCCTTTCAGTCATGCAGATCACAGCTACTTCAGTGATGTGTTTGTGCCTTTATATCAGCCCTTCTGCTTTGTGGTCTTCTGTTGCCAGTGATGAACATCGCTGTTAGATCAAACAGCTGTGGACCCAAGTGTGAAGCGGCTGTGGACAGC